TGAGCCACTGGAGGTGAATACGAGAGGAATTGATGTTTTCAATCGCATCAAAGATTTTTTTACTAAATATCAATTACCAGTGAATGTGATTGGCTCAATATGCACTGATGGAGCCAAAGCAATGTTAGGCAAAAATTCAGGATTTTTTTTCACATATGAAGAGAGAATTACCGGAAGTTATAATAACGCACTGCATGTTGCATCGTCATGCACTTGCGTCGAAAGCATTGCCAGAAAGTTTAAAACAACATCTAACTACAGCAGTAAATGTAGTAAAATACGTACATCCAAGGGTATTCGCTTAATCATCGCTTTTTTCATGCATTTTGCGAAGAAATCGGTTTCTGATCATACCGTGCTCTTATATCACACCGAAATACGATGGTTATCTAAGGGTCGCATGCTTAACAGAGTTTTTGAATTGCGTGAGGAAATTATTCAATTACTGACTAGTCAAAACTGTTTTAGTAAAAGATTTTGAGAGTAATGATGCAATGCTGAGGCTGGCCTACTTAGCAGACATATTTAGCCATTTAAATGAATTGAATTTATCAATGCAAGGATTTGGTATAAATATAATAAATATCTAGTGAAAAATTATCTTCATTTATCACATAATTAGAAATTTAGATACGTCGAGTAGAAAAAGGGAATTTTGCAAACTTTCCCTTGCTTGATTCTGTTATTGCGAAAAATGAAAAGAATACAACTATACCCGACATTGTAATACATTTGAGACGATTGAGTGAATCATTCAATGGATATTTTTCTACCGGAAGTATTACCAAAACTCAGAGATGGATACTGGATCCATTTCTATTTGACTTAAATTTGATGGATGATAGTGATCTGAAAAAGATCAACTTATTGAAATGCAAACAAGTGGACATGTTCAAATGGAATTCGAACAATTAGAATTGCAACAATTCTGGTGCTCACAGTTACAACGTTATCCAGAGTTGACGAAATGAGCACTGCAGTTACTCTTACCCTTTGCTACCACCTACTTGTGCGAAATGGGATTTTCATCACTTTTGCATATAAAAACTAAAGCGAGAAATTGCTTAAATGCAAGTGATGACTTACACGTATGTCTTTCAAAAAAGGAACCTCGCTTCGCCAGTATAATAATGAACAAACAAAAACAGACTAGTCATTAATAAAAATAATATTGTTTTATATTTATATAAAATGTACAATGTTTTTCAATAAACAATAAGTTTCCCAAAAAATGTATTTTTCTAGACTAAATTAAAACACATTTTTCAATGGGATGATATATTTCAGATTATGCAGAGATATATTTTCAGATTCAATGGAGTGCGACTCTCTAGAAAGGTTAAGAAACACTGGTCTAAACGTAAGTAATTGTACATGTCTTATTATACCATCACAAAACTTGCATATTTAGCTACAATTTGCAATTATAATTTTGAGAGGTTATGTTAGTTTGACATTTCTGTACAATATCAAGCATTAAATATTCAAGTTTCCCAAGTTGGACCGAAAACAGTTGCCAAAATTGAACCGGTCCAATTTCAGCAACAACATTATAATTAACCCTAGAATGCTACTCTTCGAAAAACTTACGGGAATGGCAACAATTCGTCTCTGAGACGAAGTATGCGTCAGGGTGCTTAAAACTTATTTTAAAAGCTAATTGCAAAAATATTTTCGCAAGAAGGAAAGTTTTTATCTATAGTAGCCAATGTCACAAACGATGAATAAACGATTTAGGACAGTTCTTGAAAAAATATCACCGTGAGCAAAGAAAAATTCAAATCCAACTGGCCCTTTGTCTTCTTGCAGTGCACCAATAGCCCAGAAAGCAGTGGAAATAACAAGCAGCCCTTACAAATCGCGGTATACCAAAACTTAAAAAAAATCAGTTCACCAAAATTTAACAAAATGCAGAAACATAAAAAAGAAACTGGTGATTCATAGTTTTGTATATTATGTGAAGAAACCAAGGAAGACGAAATGATACAATGCGTGGAATGCTACGCTTGGATACATATTTGGTGTGCTGAAGTTAGTGCTGCAATTAAAAGGTTCTTTTGTTGTAATTGCCGTTAAGAAAGCTCATGGCCCAATTTAAGAAACTAGCGGTCCAAATAAGGAAACCGGTTTCCTAAATTGAACCGATGACACGATTTTTTTTAATTCATTTTTCACTGTTATAAATAATTTTTAAAATTTAATAAATGGTTCTTTTTTGAAGGTACACTTAGTGAGTTTATTTTCTACTCCTTAATTTTTATTGGCACTTCTTCCATCCTTCTATATAATGAAAAATACAAAATTGGTTCAAATTAGGCTACTCTCCCCTACTATTAATTGTTCAACTTTTTTTTATATATTTTTAAACATTTTATTTTAGGGAAATTCATTGGGCTATGAAAATTCAACTAGCACTGAAAACAAGAAAGACACACTGCAAAACAAACAGAACAATGTTTTTATTTATATTATTCCTCCATTTCGACAGGATTCAATGGGAAACAGAAAATTGATGGCTGTATACTTAATTTATCTTTATGATTTAGTAAATTTATGTTTAATGAATAATTTTAAAATGTTTATGAATTCCAAGTTATATGCACTTAAGTTATGTAAAAGCATTCTGTGCTGAATAAAGAGTATTCTAAAAACTGTGACATCTGCTATCACTTCTGTTATTTTATACATTTTCTTCTTCTTTTTGTATTTCCTGTCAAAATGTTCCATTATTTTGATGGTTTGTGCTAATAATTTTCCAATTAATATAGTCCTAAAATTAGCAAATCTAAGATTCTTGAGTCGTGACTAAAATCTATGCAAAACAAAGTAATCTATGCAATGCAAAGTATGTTCCTTTGCTAATTTTATGTTTTACTTTGGCATGTTTCTCTTCTGTCTTAATCTAACCCTAGCTAATCAAGAGTAACGTGTTGTCATAAATGCATTATCAGGTTTTAACACAAACTCTTAATCTAAATGGTATTATTCCATTTTGAGGGCCGTAAAAATATGCAGCGAAAATGTATGTGCAAATGCGCCCATTTAACAGCGTGCCAAATCTAGTGTACGCGCTGATTTCAGATTGTGTAAATTTATATAGTTCTATATTTTTTAACACGCCATTGAAATATTAGTTTAATTTTTAAATACTTTTTTGATATCCTATGGGTTTAACAATTTGGAGATTGCCCATGAAGAAAAGTCTTCAATAGAATTTTGGGTAAAGTGCAGAATCACTCACTGCTTGACGCATTTGTAAGACTTGCACATACTCGGTATCCATGTACACATTGACCTATTTTCACTTAAAAACTCCCAGAATTGCACAAAAATGCCACTGTGCACACCCTTGACTTTATCTATGTACACATCGACCTATTTTAAAAATTATAAATTACATTAAAAAATTTAAATTCTAAAGTAAAAGAAAATTGACAAAAATCCAATTGTTTTTACCCTTGTAAAAAGCGACAAACAAATAAGTGGGTGATTCTGCACTATACCGAGAATTTTTTCATAGAAAAGGCATCATTCATTATAGAAAATTATGTTTGAACAACCAACGAGATGAAATTATGCTCAGTAGCGAACTCAGTAGTGAAATAGCGATGCAGGCATCCATTCAGTAATGTTTAGCAATTTTTATATAAATTATAATAATGAACTGAAATAGTTATTTACACTTATGCTTCCATTCAGTCATGTTTAGCCTTTTTTATATAAATTATAATAATAAAAAAGTATTATGTGAAATTAGCTTTTAATCTAAATTAAAACATCAATCTTAGATAGTTATTTACTATTATACTTCCTTTCTTGCGTTAGGGTTGCTGCAATTACTTTTGGCAGCACTGGCATCAACATAGTTTGGCGATTTTTTACGGCCCTCAAAACTGAATAGTACCATCTAAATTACAGTGTACCTTCTCTAAGATGTCCATCCATTTAATGCAGTATTAGTCTTTTCTGGAATTGGTTGTAGTAGAGAAAGTGACTGTTTGTTATGATTATTATTGATAAGCGTAATGGATTCATCCAATTCAAAGCTACTGGAGTGTACTGAATAAAAATACTGATTGGCCATGTAATTACCTATAACTGTACTTCCCAAAAAAGGGGGGAGAACAGTTCTTTATCTCCCATTTTACTGGGCCAATTGATGATATTAAAATTGCATTTTTCATATCTCGAAAGTGCAATTTAGGATATATTTTAGATTTATATATAGCACTGCTCTAATATAGGTATATTTTAACATAAAATCAGACTTTTTCTGAAATGGCATGTCATTTTTTTCCAAATTTCAATTCTACGACTGAAATTATGCCTAAATATTAAATTGTGTAAATTTTGGTGCAAAATTTACAGAGAAATTCAAAAATTTATTGTTGCACATTTTTTTTTTCAATTGCGCCAAGAATAATTCACTTGGCGAACTTCTTAATTTATAGCAACCTGTTTTCCTTTCCTTTTCTTTTTTTTTTATTATACACGAGTGGAAAAAAAGGGCATCATTCACATTTTCAAATAATTTTAACAACATGCATAAACCACATTTGCCGTTATTATCACTTATAACAAGTATGCCAAATTTCAAAACATGCCAATGTGTCAATTCTCGTATATCTTAGGAAATTTTGAATAAAAAACCCTAATTTTTTGCAGGTATTCTTAGAAATTATCTCGTGATTTGGAACTCATGAGTTAATGAAACAAAACTATTATGATGAAACAATGATAATGAAACAAATGTTGAAACAAAGTTATGTTTTACATACTCACAAAACTATTGTTAAGGTGCATTTTGTGTTCTGTCTTTCAATTTTTAAATCTGTTTGAGAAGTATAGTTCCCATAAGTGAAAATTTCTTTGAAAACTCATTCATAGTTTCTTACGATCTCTAAATCTTTTATACATAATTGCAGTTCAAATCAGGTTCAAATTAATTGAACTATAAAATATATTAATAGTGATTTATTTTATTTTTATTTCTATTTTAGGAACTTGGTTAGGTGTTGAATGGGATAATCCAGCCCGTGGAAAACACAGTGGTAGTTATAATAACATCACATATTTTACTACTAGGTATGCATGAGTTTTTTTTTTAGAAAAGACTTATGTTAAATAAAAAAAGACCAAGAGATGAGAAGTAACTGTTGGAAATATTAATTTTAATTAAGTGAACCGTAACAGTGCTGATAGTTAATAACTGTTATTTATAGCATTGCATTTTTCAAAGATTTACTGTAATATGTGTTATAACTACAGTAATATGTCATTAAGTTTAACCTAATTCAAACATAGATAACAAAATCTGAAGTATTTTTATTGACGTAAAATTACAAATAATAGCTGAAATTGTTAATACCAGTTTAAAAGTGTCACAGCTAAAAGAGAAATATTCTAACTTTTGTAAACAGGTAAAACACACATCTTGTAAACTGATATTCTTCTGTTTTGTGGTTATATATTTAAAAACCAAAAAATATGTGTGCTTATTATGATAAAAAATTGATTTAAAAATGCATGCTATTTTAATTTTAAAAAAATGAAGGAAACAACTTTCACAAGTGAGTATTTATTTTAATAAATTGTTATTCTTATTATTGTAAATGTTGCAATATTTATTCTAACACTTTTAGAATTACAAAATTTTCTTATCTTTTTTTTTTTTTTTTTTTTTTAAAGGGCTTAAGTGCTAGTTTAACATTTTAAATTGATTCTTAGAAGGATGTGAAAATAGATTAACATTAATCTGCAGTTTTTTCAATATAATGTAGTAATAATGAAGTAATAATATAATCTGGCAATAATGAAATACAGTCAAAAGTCTTTAATCCGGACTCGTCGGGACTTCGGCGATTCTGGATTATCGATTTTTCCGGAATATAGATCATCAGTTTAAATCTGGTAAGATGGCATGCAGAAATTATAAAATTAAAAATATGAAACCGTAATTTATAAAATAATGAGCAATTATGATCTAAAGGGTATCAAAATTTACAAAAAAAAGAAGCTTAATATTTATTTGTTTACTTTATTAAACATTTCTTTCAATGCACGCATGCATACCTTACGCATAGCCGAAATTAGAAAATTGCAACCAGAAAACTATTTGATTTGTATTCGTGATATTTATAATGACGAGGAATTTGATTTAAATCATATCAACGACGGAGTACATCGAGATTAAATACTACATTTAGTAAGGATTTATAAGCCGAATAAAATAAAAACATCTGCCCTGAAGATAACGACAGTGGTGACAGATCAACTTCCAGTTCATTGTGCGTCGCGACGTCCCCCCTCCCCCCGCGCAGAGCAGTGTGAAATTGATAAACAGATTTCGGAACGTTTAGATAAACAAAGGATATACCTTTATTCATTTTTTGTAGTAATTCGTTTTTTGTTTGATGGACATCAAATCATACTTTCATTTTCTAGATCCTTTGGGAGCTCCAGCATTGGAAATTCTATTTGACATAATTGAAAGTTCAAACTTACTTTTATAAAATTGCTCTTACAGTCTGCAAAAAATAATAAGCTGGATCCAATTCGAAGATTAAGGAACAACGCAATCATCAACATTAACTGAAATAGATAATTAGATAATTTTAGCTTATACCGTCCGGTCCTTTATACATTAAATGCGCACGTAAAAACGTATTCTGCGCTTGCGCAGTCGTAAATGTCTTGCGCGCACGCGTAAAACGCCTATGAGCATGCGTCAACGCGGCGCATGCGCAGAAAGATTTTAGCTTTGAGGTCCGGATTATGGGTGTCCGAATTAACGACTTTTGACTGTAATAATAATATAATCTAGTAATAATGAAATAATAATAATATAATCTAGTAATAATGAAATAATAAGTAGTAATGAAATAATCAATACAGTCAAAAGTTGTTAATTCGGACACCCATAATCCGGAATGATCTATAATCTGGACCTCAAAGCTACAAACTTTCTGCGCATGCGTCTTAGACGCATGCACGTAAGACTTTTATGGCTGCGTATATACGTGTGCACAAAATATGTTTACGAATGCGCGTTTAACGTATAACGGACGGTCTAAGCTAAGCTAAAATTATCTATTTCAGTTAATGTTGCAGATTGCGTTGTTCCTTAATCTTACAATTGGATCCGGCTTATTATTTTTTGCAGACTGTTAGAGCAATTTTATAAAAGTAAGCTTGAACTTTTGATTATGTCAAATAGAATTTCCGATATATATTTACTAATATGTAAAGGATCTACAAAGCGAAAGTATGTTTCGAAGTCCATCAAACAAAAAGTGGAATTGCTACAAAAAATGGATAAAGGCGTATCCTTTGTTTCTCTACCATTCCAAAATCTGTTTATCAATTTCACGTTGCTCAGCGGGAGGGGGGGGGGAATGTCGCGGCACTCAATGAACTGGAAGTTGATCTGTCAGCACTATCCTTATCTTCAAGGCAGATGTTTTTATTTTATTTGGCGTATAATTCCTTACTAAATGTAGTATTTCATCTTGATGTAGTCCGTCTTTGATATGATTTAAATCAAATTCCTCGTCATTATTATTCGCTTCCGATAGTGAAGAAAGAGACACAGAGGTTATTGAAAACGAAAAAATTTCGATTGACAAATTAGTCGGTATTCTTGACACAGCAATTATAGGACTTGAACAGCGGAACTTTGTAACCGAACAAGAAATCATGTCTGTTTACAGAATTAAAGAGAAAGTATTATCACATAAAACAAAGCAACTTAGACAACTTACATTGAAAGAAATGTTTAATAAAGTAAACAAATAAATATTAAGCCTTTTTTTTATGAATTTTTATACCCTTTAGATCATAATTGCTTTTTATTTCATAAATTACGGTTTCATATTTTTAATTTTATAATTTCTGCATGCCATCTTATTAGATTTAAACTGATGATCTATAATCCGCAAAAATCGATAATCCGGAATCGCTGAAGTTCCGACGAGTCCAGATTAACGACTTTTGACTGTAGTACTTTTATTTGTAGCAAAAAACATAAATATCAGGGGTATTTATAGGCTCTGTTATGAATTTTTTCTTGAAATATTATTGAAAAGTAATGTGAAAAATCACTATTAATATGAATATTCTTTTTAATATGAAGGATAATTCTATTTAATGAAGTGTATATATATGTTTTTATGATCAGTTATAATTTGCTGTAGATGAGCATTCAAATATTCATATCATTGATTTTTTTTAAATTTTAATTTTTAACTATATGAATGTTAACAGGACTGGCACTAGGCTTCTTGCTGCCTGGTACAATATTTGCAAATCTTAAATTTTGTTTCCAGTATCGCTTTAAATTCTAAATAACTAGACATTAATTAAAACTGTTGGAATTAATTAAATAATTAAGAGTTATAATATTCAGCATGATTTTGACCTAATCTACTTGAATAAACTGATTAATGTTCATACTTTTCTAGAAGAAATGAAGAATATTAAAAACTTTTTAGTAAACATATGTTAATCTATGTTATTCCTTTATTTATTACCAAGAAGTTGTTTTTTGTTCAGAAATTACTTTTTGTCATAACTTAATGTTTCATACATTTCAGCATTCCTGGAGCTGGTAGCTTTATCAGAATTTCAAAAGCAGATCTAGGAATTTCATGTGCCAGTGCATTGAAATTAAAATATGGCTCTTCAAACAGTTCTTCTAAACCTTCAAATTTTATTCCATTACCTCAAAAAGCTGGTCGTGATAGATGCATAGAAATGGTTGGCATGGAAAAAATTATGAATAAACAAAGGCATGTGTGTTACTTTTTGAAGGAGTTCTTATCTTGATTACTGTTTCACATCATATCTGTATAAAGACTTTTATGTATTTGTATAAATACTACATAATTGAAAAACTATATATACTGTAATAAATAATTATATTTATATGCAGGATGTGCCATAAACACCATACAAATTATGCATGGTAGTATTTCTTTTGTATTTCTTCTATAACAAATGGCCAAATAATTGTACTCAAGGACCCACATTTTTCCAGAGAAATGTAAAGGAAAAATTGCAATGTCACATATGGTACAAGGAAAATGAACTTGGTTTGAAACATAACCTTTGATATAATTTTTGCTTGATATTTACATATGAGATTATTTAAATGACCACTTAAAAACATTACTGATACTACTATGTGTTAAATTCAAGATAACTTCTTTCTATAGCAACAAAATGAACATTGATAGTTTTCATGCAAGAAATGACTCGTGATAAATTGTGTGCATTATTGCAAATACTTACATATAGTAAATATAGTAAATTATATTAAAGCATTATAGTATATTATAGCATTATAGTAAATACTTACATAAACTTACTATTATTCATGGATTGGCTTTAATTACATGTTTAATATTTATAACACTTAAAATAAAGTTTATTTAACTTATGCCAAATCTGGCATAGTAATTTTCATATTCATTTTCAGAAACTGTGGGTCATGTATTATTTTTGGTCACTTATCATTTCAGCGTAAAAACTGTCACCATAACATTTGGTATTCATAGGATGCTGTCTGAGTGTTTAATTAATATATTCAATTAATTTTTTATGCGGGGAATAACTTGAAAGTTGGAGACAGATTTTGATGGCATATTTGTTAATAATGACAGCTAATGCATATAGTAATTGCTGTCATGGCTGATTTTAATATTTCTTTATTATCCTTGACAAATATTTTTTGAATGCTCATGATGTGGATGCTTAAATAATGGTTCAGCATATATGACATTAAAATTTGGGGCTGAAATTTATTATTAACTAACAGGAAGAAATCTGAATCAAAACTAATTCTTTATACACTAAACTTTTATCTTAGACATGATGCATTCTGTTTTTTGCTTCACTATTGCCAACTAATGCTTGCTGCTGCTCTGTCCCTCTTCAAATATATTTTAAAAAGTCTGTAAGGTGTAGATGTGATTCTTTGAGAACAAGTACATTATTTTATCAAGTTATTTGTGGCTGCATTATGTCAACAATAAAAGAAATGTTCAACTAGCCTCAATGAGAGGTACTATCTCTATGCTTCAGCATCTAGTTATCTTATGCAGTTATATTTACCAGAGATTGCTATTTGGCATTGGTAAACTGCAGAAAATTTAAATGATGATTCAAACAATCACCTTTGTACATTCAATAATGGTATTTCATTTCAATTTTTTTACTAAAGGCAGTTTTTAATTTGACTTTGGGCAAGAACTTATGAAGACCAGTTTTTTTTTAATTAAAATATTTTTTATATTTGCATTAACTGATTGACTAGATTGTTGGCTGTGTTTTGTTTAAAATGTAATTAATTCAAGAAGGAGAAATCCTGTATGCAAACTTGTTAATTTTGCTGTTGCATCACATAGATATGTCATTTAAGGCAAACTCGATTTGTTTGTTTATATTTATCATAACCGAAAGAAGTTTAAAAGTCTTATTAAGAAAAAGAAATTATTATTTGAAAAAAATTTACCTGAACTAAGAGTTAAAAAATTACTGCATACATTAATGATTCAGAACTGTGTTAATTTTTGTTGCATTTTTTATAAAGAAAATAAAAACTCCTTAAGACTTGAGCAATTTTAACCTTATATGGAGACAGTTTTTTTTTCTTTTAAAAAACATGCGTGTAAGTGTTTATGATGAGAGGTTTCATCATTTAAAAATTAATCCTTTCCTTAGAATAGTTGTTTAAATTTTCACTAGTGAAATATATGCAGTTTCCTGTTACTGTTGCTTATAGTAAGAAAACAGAGATAGAAAACTGTAATTATAAATATTAAGCAAATAGAGGTATTTGATCATGCTTAGCATGTTATTAGTATGCATAGCATGATCGTTAATTGTCATGCATATTTACTCAGCTCATATTTTTAGTTTCAGCTATGAAAGATTTTTAATCTGAATTGTAAGTTACTCTGCTGGATTTAAACTTGACCTGGCAGAAGAGAAAGCAGGAACAGCAAATGATTATTTCTTCCTCCTAGAATTTAGATTAAATCTATCTCCTATGAACATCATGAAATATCTTCATCATACTCAGAAACTTAACCCTCTGGCTGATTATCCCGCGATTTCTGCGGGCATATGTTTTTCTTCCTTTATTAAGGAGCGCATCCCACTTTTCTCCATTTAACCATTGAAATAAATTATATACAGTATTAGGTGTTTAGTTTACGTTTTGGCCAACAGATATCACTAGTTGTCCACTAAACTGCGGCATTTGAAGGCACGCGGTATTAGCGCTCAAACTTTGCTTTTTGCCGCTTTTTTTTACAGAAATGGCTGCTAGAAAACGTTCAGTGATTATCTTGATTATTTAACTAAATTATTGAATTATTGATTAGATTAATAATTAGATTGATTATTAATTAGATTTAGAGAATCTGGTGCAAAGACTGTGAAGTTTGAACTCTATCATACTAAACTGCATTTTTAAGGTATTTTTCCCTCAGCACTTTATATTTTCTTAAATTTTTTATATTATGCAATAAATAGAAATTAACTGTAATTCGACTGAAATTTATTTAAAAAAAGATTTTTTGTGATAACATCTGAAATTGGTTTTTCTGGCAACTTAGTTTCTCATGATAAAAATCTATATAAAAATAATTTTCTAAAAAAAAAAAGTGCATGGAAAAAAAAAAAAATTTAGAAGCGAGTTTGGTCCACATATTGAGCAGTCAGAGGGCTAAAAAGAAATAAAGGAGCTTCTGAAAATGCCTCTCAAAAGTTCTTCGCTAGCCTTCAGCTAATTACATTCATAAATATCTCAAGAATGCCCAGAACACTTACCTTCAGGAGCCAGTGTGACTGCACTAGGCTGCAAAATTTTGAAGGGACTGGGCTGTTGAATTAAGGAGTGGCAAAAACTGCACAGGAAAGAAAATGTTCAGTGCCTGATCTGTCTGCCCTATATATAATCTAAAGTTGAATAGCTTTAAAAAGGTTTTCATGATAAATATAGATATGATTATAGACGTAAAATTACATAAAATTATTTTACTTTTTTTTGAAAAATTTTACCTCTATCATTATAAAATTGTATATTTAGGTAAATACATGCACAATACACATAAATGAAAAATATTTTAAAGGTTGAACAAAAAGTAAGAATTTTTCATTTAAACATCCCGTGTCCCCATAAGTTAAATTTCTTGGCATATGTGTAAACAAATATCTTGTAGTTAAACAATGATCTTCTTAGACATAGAATTAATTTTAAAACACGTGATCAGTGTTTTCTTCAGTGCAGTTATTTTTTTTAAAGTTAATGTTAATTAGAGTCAGTTTTTACCGATTATGTTGTTCTTTGTCGAAAAAGATTATATGCTATACTACTTTCTCTGAAATAATTATATCTTTATTCTAACTTTGTTTTAAGTGCTGTTCGTCAAGCTTCCTGCTTACACAGTAGCAGGTAGGTTTTAGTTAAAATGTGTTTTGGCATTTAAAAGTAAAATGCTGAATTAGTTTTGTAGATTTGTAGTATTTTTTTTTACAGAAAAATATTACTACTTCAGGGACTTAATATTGGTTTTATGAGGATATTTACAGTTATTGTAGTTATAAATTTCTTAGTAATTAAGTTCTTAATTACTTAATGCTAAGTGATAAAATAAATAAGAATGCATCTGGGTAAAATATATATTTTTATGTTTAAAATTCTTTCTATGTCAGAGATATATTTGAAAGCATATATTGAATATTTGTAATGTTTTTAAAATGTAATTTTGTTTAAGTGTATTTAAAATGCTAGAAAAGCAAATTTATTTTATGTAAATAAAATTTATGTAAATATTTTATGTAAATTTGATATTTTATGATCTGTAAATTTATTTGATTTATTTTATGTAAATATTTTATGTAAATTTGCTAGTGAACTAAAATATTTGATTTTCCTTTTTTGCAGCAATTTTTCTCGTCTGACAGAAGTTGTTTTATCCAGTATGCTAATTAATGATGCTGGAAAAAGAGATGAATTAAAAGAATTGATACCAAATGTTACTAATTTAGATTTATCACAGAATTTGTTAGCTTCATGGATCGATGTCAGTGCCATAGTATCACAATTACAACAGCTGTCAACATTAATACTTTCGTAAGTAAAATCTTTTTTTTTTATAAAAAATATTGAGTATTTTTATTCTTTTGATGTTATAAAGATAATGCTATTGTTTTCCATTTATAATCATAGGTATCTAATTAAAAGTATAAATTATGAAAACTAGTTTTATTTTCTAAAATTTATTCAGGAGTTTTTTTTTTTTTAAATTATTTTATAACTGGTATCATCTGAAGAAATTTATTTTAATTTATTTATGTATATTATGGCTCCCAAGTATATATAACTCTCAAATATTCAGTACATGAGTATGTTACTTAAATGTGAGGCTGTTTTGTTAAGTAAGTAATTGGATCAATTAAAGAATTTGTGATTTAATTTAGCTCAAATGTTGGTTTGGTTAAACAAAGTTGGATACAAATTTTTATTTTCTTGTAAAAATATTCACTGCTTTAACATTTTTTGTAGTAAATGATATTAGTTGAAGTAAGATGTATCTTACTGAAGAATGAGACTATCAGAATGCTTTAATTTTACATTTAATGATACTGTGTACCAGGATGTATGGCAACCAAATGATGATAATAATAAAAATATATATTTCCAATATGTTTTGTTGACATTATTGGTTTATACCACTATGAAGGAAAATTCAAATGCACTTTTTACATTCACTCTAATTATCTCAGCAGTACTGAAGTACTGTAGAATCAAAGGCACAGACACAGCAACATTGAATGCATGTGAAATAGTGGGTACCTTGATATGTCTCAGGCTTGTTCTACTCTCATAACTTGCACTTGGGTTTAAATTGGGAAACTTCATAATGTCATTTTCAATTCTGCAGAAAAATAAGAAATACTGATTTCTAACACTTTGTAATTTAGTAGATAATATTTTTAATGTAATTTCACAAGAAAAAAATGCTCATAAATTAAATTTAACTGAGAAACTTCAGGAAGAAGCTACAAAACAGGTTTCTTGTAATGTTGAATTTGTTGTTTCAGTCACAGATATTTTTCTACATTACATCCTTTGACTAAAATTCAAAGGTTTATTAAATTCTAGTATTTTTAAGGCTGTACTTATTTAATGATAATTTATCACCTGGTGACTGCAATAAATCTAATAATAATTAATCAAGCAAAAACTAAACTTTATGATTCATAGGTTGTCAACTTGTCTAAAAGTATCTAGAATGCAATTAAACCTGCCTAATTATCATAATAAGTGGGGGGGGTATTTAAAAGATATATAGATCAAGTCTCCTCGGCAGCATTGATGAAAGTGACCTATAATGAGTTTTGGCTTAATATAGGCAACATTTAGAAAGAACAAAGCATTTATAAGTGCATTTTTTTAATGTACTTAAAAATGCTTTGTTCTTGTTAAAAAATATGAAAGTGTCTGCATATTAAAGTAATAAAAATAATGATTTATTTAGTAAATTTTAATTCAAACTTGTTTATACACACACACACACACACACACACACACACACATATATATATATGTATATGTGTGTGTGTGTTTGTAATGTAAAAGGTAAATGATATAAAATACTAATTTTAATTTGCAATAATAATCCCTTAATTTTTAACCCAAAGGAAGTTAGCCCAGAAGGGCTATTAACCCTCTGGCTGGCCAGGGTTTTTGCTAAGAAAGCACAAATTTCCCCAAAACTACTATGAGAACAAATTATTTTCTTGATTTTAATGTTAAAACTCTCCTGGTATTTTATGCCTGGATTTATTGCCTTAATTTTTTTGACATATTTTAACATGCACATATGTATTCCTCCTTACAAGATATCACAAAAAAATATTCTAGGCTGTATATATACGGCCTTGCCGGTTAGAGGGTTAATTTCATTTTGGCATTTTGCATTGATTCACTATAAATGTCGGTTCACTTTTCAAATTGTTGCCACCAAATATTAAAGCCCTAATTATATTTAAAGAAATCAAATAATTAAGAATCTGCATAAATGTATGTATATTTCTCACATTGTGACAAAACAATAGTACCTAGAGCCATCAAATTTAGAATAACGTATGTTTCCGCCTGAATATGGAATCTGAAATCCCAAATTTAGAGTTTGTTTATTATCTGTTTCATATTTTGTAAACCTTTAATGAATTTTTGATTAAAAATTTGAAGTATTTCAAAGCGAGCAATTGCAATACTGTATGAGGAAAAAAAAAAATTATCTCCAGTGATGAGACTGTGTATCAAAAATTCTAAAGATATGCTCATTTTAAAATTATTTTGTGATATTGCTGTTGAATTGAATTTTATGGTTTAAGTGCGAAGAACATGATATTTAATTAATGAAGGTAACCCCCAAAATGTTACCCCTCCACTTTGGGTATAATGTAAAATCTGAAAGCTTTCAGATTTTTATTTATTTATTTAATAAATTTGGATATTTTCCATTTCTGTAATATGCATATAATAAATAATTCTAAATTACATCTTTTCAAAATTAATCCTTAACCACATTATTTTTATATAATGTGAATGAATTTTATGTAATGTTCATGATTTTATGTAATGCAAGTGTGTAAAAAATCTTTCAGCCAATAATCATAATAAAATTTGCAAGTTAAAATTTTAAATTAGCCAATGGAATTGAAGTCAAATTCAAAATTATAAGTCTTAACCCATTCTTCTACTTGAATTCTGCTTATTTTGTATTTGCTTCTCTAACTTGCATGCTCACTATCTACTGCTGCTCTTTCTTTCTTCAAATATATTATAAAATTATAAAATAGCTAAAATTATTCAAACTAGATGCATGTTTTGAACCAATTAAGATGCAACTGTATCAATTACTGCTAAATATAATGAAACCATTTTTGATGATAATGTCGATGCTAACAATAAAAGCCGATTCCTAAGAAGATAACTGCAATCGTGGCTAGTTTAATACTGTATTTTATTGTTGATATCACATTTTTGATGCAAACACAGCTTAATTGGTGCAGTTTGGATAGTCATTCTTGATCACATTAGTGTTTTGATCACATTAGTGATATCTTTACAACAATGAATTTCGATGGAAAAAAAAAAAAAAAAAGATAAGTGACATTTCATAACTAAATGCTAAAACGCACAGTAGTAAGCAAGAGAAGAATCCATGGATCATAGTTTGAAGTCATAATTTTAATCTTAATTAAGAATGCTTCAGTTATTATTGTTTCACTTTAATTCCACTGCTAGTTAAGGGTTTAATTTTCAGATTTCATCATTGTTATTGGTTTAAATGTTATATAAATACCTGTATCATTAGCATTACGTGAGAATCATATGGCAAGGATTAATTTTTAAATGATGAAGTTTTAGAGAGATTTAGTATAAGCATATTACTACTTTTAGGGTAGAACAGGAAAGTAATCAAATTAAAAGTGAGAATTAAGAGGCTAATTAATTGGAAATTAAAGCTAGGTTTTTTTTTTGGTTGTATTTATTTTTTTTATCTTGCATATATATATACAAATACATTTGTAGAAAATAAAAACCATAAACCATGTTAGTAGCAATAAACATAATTTTATTGCAATAAGTATTTTTTCATCTTTTTAAAGCAAGAATCGATTGGAGATTCCTGTTGATGTAGAAAATTATAAAGAATGTTATACATCTCTAAAAATGCTGGTATTGAATGACATGGCATATTGCTGGAAAGAGGTATTATCATTTCATAATTAAATTGTTCATTTAAATACTAGAAAGAATAATATAATTTTTTTATTTTAGTTCAACTCACTTAATATTTTAAAATTAGAATTATAAAATTAAAAGCTATTTTTTTAGATTATTTTGATATCTTTATTTTACAAATATCTCAATATTTACATTTTATATTTAAGTAAAAATTTAATTTTGAAACTTTACTTGGGAAGTTGTAAATGTAAAAAATGATAATATGTATTTATTTTTAATTTGTTGTTGTTAAATAATTGTATTTTTTACTTAAACTAGCATATGTAAATATTTTTATTGTCAATAAACAATAAGCTTTATTAATCTTTAAAACTTATTTCATATATAAAGCATTTTTATTACTTATTATTTCCAGTTTGTGATTTGTGAACATTTTGTCACATTGCTTTGAATAGACATTTTAAAGATTTTATAATATGGCTAAATTATAACTATTTCAGTGATGACTTGAATTTACATTCATAGATACTTTTGTGTGCAGTTATGTGGCCTTACATAGAAGAGCTGTGTGTTCTTGATAACAGAATATCTGTCTTAGAAGTACCACAATATCCTGTTTTTTCCAAATTAAAAGTTCTCAGCTTAGATAATAACCCTATAATAAATTGGACTGAAATATGCAAGTTAGGTGTATTAAAAAAGTATGTTATTTAAAAATTTTTTTTTTTTTTTAATTTGCTTTCTTTTTCTTTTTATTTTTTTTTTTTTTTTTCCCAATATGTCTCAATCAATTTTTTCTTATAGTTTAGAAGAGTTGCACATTGATAATATTTCTCTGGAATCCATTTTATTTCCTGAAGTTTCACCTTTAGAAAAGACCAATCTATTCCCTGGCCTTTGTACTTTCTTTGCCCGAAATAACAAACTAAAGGAAGTGAGTATAAATATTTTATTATAAGTTCACATAATAAAATATGTCGCTTACGTATTATCCTGTTGAACATCAATGTTAGCTACCACCCAACTACGAAACTTGACAAAGATTCTGCAAGAGTTGTGGTAGTTGTTTCTGAGCTGCATGATGTCTTTTAATAATACGCTCTTCAGTCTCTCTGTGCCTACAGCCAGCAAAATACATCTAGCAATCAACCAAAATAATACTAAATACATGCCATGTGGTAATAACAGCAATACCTATTTTGAAATTGGAAATTACAAATTTGAAACTGTTAGCAAATTTAAATATTTAGGATCAGAAGTTAATACTCTCAATGATTTAATACCCGAGATCCGTAGTAGAGTCACAGATGCTAACCGATGTTTTTTCGGTCTAAAAAAATACTTGAAGTCTAACTTCATTAGCAGAAAAACGAAGATTTTAATTTACAAAAACTTAATCAGACCCATTCTTACATACTCTGCTGAGACCTGGGCAATGACAGAAAAAGCTAAAAGTATTATTTCTGTCTTTGAAAGAAAAATTTTGAGACATATTTTTGATGGCATAAAATGTAACAATATCTGGGAAGAAGAACTAACTCTGAACTCTATACGTCCTTTAAAGAAATAGATATAGTAAAATATATGAGGATTCAGAGAATTAAATGGGCAGGACACCTGTGCAGAATGGATGAAAATCGAGTAACTAAAAAGATCTTCTCGGCCAGACCATTCAGCACTCGAAAAAGAGGGAGACCTAAACTTAGGTGGCTCGACTGTTTGGAAACAGGCATAAGAATTTTAAAAAATAACCAATTGGATGTCCATGGCCAGGGATAGAAGAGCTTGGAATTCGATTCTGAGGAAGGCAAGGGCCCATCCTGGGCTGTCTGGCCATTGAAGAAGAAGAAGAAATCTCTCTGTACAATCCACCAAATAGCCACTGCTGCAACAGTCTGCAACCTGCTTTATTTTCATGCCTCATTAAAAAGCCTTTAGTTGCATTTTTACTAGATCTTCTGATTTTACCGGAAGTTCTGTTTAGAAAACTATGAGCAGAGACTTCCTGTTAGTGTTTTGTTGACAATATTCAGCTGTTGCATTCTGCGTTCAACAGATATTAATTCTCTTGAGCTGGAAATAATCTAAGTGCATCACAGATGTGATTCTGCAGCCTTTAAACTCTTTTTTTTTTAATGAAAAAAAAGAACCACAATAATAGTTAAAAGTATTTATATCCTTGCTCATAAAAACAAAAGATGGCATATCGAGAACCAATCAGGATTACGTCAGTCAAAAGTGCAGATGTTATATCTTGTGACATCTTGCACTAAATAACTGCCACTAAATTGCACTGTTTAGGAAAAGTTTCACAGTCTATGGAATAATACATAAGTACCTAAAATATTTTCAATCGCATTAAATCAGCTGTTTGAAGATTAAAATATTAATTTCAAGATCAAACTGAAAAGGGGGGAAATTAGTTAGTAATTGAATAATAAATTGTTTGAGAAGACAGACTAAGTTTCTTTTTAGAGCTTTATATGGATTTGAGAGCTTTATATCTCTTTGTATATGCCTCCAAAGAAAATATACGTTTAAATGTTTTGTTTTAAAAAAAATTCTGTGTATTTATGCCAAATGTCTTTTTTAAAAAGTTTTTATACCATATTTCTTATTTATTTTATGTTTATAAATCTTATATTGTATGTATGCCCATGAGTTTATTTTTATGTTAATTGAAAAACTGCATATAAAACTGATCTGAAAGCAGAATTAAATGTATCTTAAATAATTCAAATCTAAAGTACTATTTGAGCACTAAAATTCAAATTTTAGACTGTAACTGAAATTTTATAATTGTAATGCATGCTTTAATAAAATAATTTATACCTATTTCTTATTTAGTGCTTTATGCTTATCTGTTCTCCCACCAAAAAAACATGAACTTGTTGGTGTTTTAAAGATAAATATTTGTTTGGGTATTATTATTGTTTGGGTGCGAAATATTTCTTTATATACATCCATTTTAATGATATCCAGTGCTACCAGTGTTTCTACATTCATTAAGAAATAAAACATTTACCTTATTTTGAGAAATCCTCCTGTATCTTTTGTACTGCTGCTCTTTCCATGCATACCATGATTTGTTTTTGCTGAAAACATCAGAATATTGCACAAACTCAGCATTACGCATCAGCCATAATCATAATTGGCCAAAATGACTTGAATCTTCAACATACACTCCAATGTAATGAAAATAATTGGATTCAACTCCACTTTCATTATGATTTGCTATAACAAAAACAAATGTATTCCTTACAAAATTAAATATTAATAGAAAAATTACTGTTCAGTTTGAAAAATCGCAGATCCACATATACTCAGATACAGGCAACCACATAAATATTTTTTGGCAGCATCATGGTTGAGCAGCATGGTGCATTGCCTCATCAGTATTTTTTTGCAACTTTTTGGTGGAGGTACACATAATCGAAAAGTACCTTGTTTTCAAATGATATTAGCTAAATATCCAAATTTATAAATGTTTCGCTATGCTTATTAAATATTTTTCTCTTTAAAGTGGAAAACTGGAACTGAAGATGCTATATTTTTAAGTATAGAAAATCTATTATATTTTCTTTTTTATATTTTTCTTTTTAGTGGCAGGATATTAGCGAATTAAACAAACTAATCAACTTGAAGAATCTTATGATCAATAACAACCCTGTGATGTTATCTGTGAATCCAGAAACTGCTCGCCAGTTAGTTATAGCTAAAATTCTAGGACTGGAAACATTGAATCGAACAAAAGTAAACTTAAAAACCATTTGTCTTATCAAATAATTGTCATAATTTAATAATATTTTAGAAGTACAAATTCACTTTCAAATTATTTTTTTGATAGAAAGGTATTTTTTTAATACATACTTTGTTTGTTTTATATTTTTGATTGCTTAAGTGTAGTTGAATTCTTTTATTATATATATGAAATAATTTAGAAGTCATTGGCATGGAGATGCAGAAAGAAGTTATTACATTTAAGATGTTAGCCAGTCATGTCAATTTTAATATTTCTTTATTTTCAGTGACAAACTTTTTTTAAAAAAGGCCTACACAAATAAACTAACACAATAAGTGTCTGTTCTTGAAAATCTCATTGTAATAATTGAGAAATGTATTAAAGTCCGTAATCCGGACGTCCATTATCCAGAATGATCTATAATCTGGACCTCAAAGCCACAAACTTTTTTTGTATGCTTTACACATGCACGTTTAATGGTATAATGGACGGTATAAGCTAGGCTAAAATTATCTTTACTGATTCTAAGTCATTTCAGTTAATGTTGCAGATTGTGCTGATCCTTAATCTTCTTGGATCTGGCTTATTATTTTTTGCAGACTGTTAGAGCAATTTTATAAAAATTAAGCTTGAACTTTCAATTATGTCAAAAAGAGTTTCCAATTCTGGAGCTGCCAAAGGATCTACAAAGCGAAAATATGTTTCGATGTACCGCTTCTGATAGTGATGAAAGTGACAGAGAGGTTATTGAAAATGAAAAAATTTTGATTGTTAAGTTAGTTGGTATTCTCGACACAGCAATTACAGGACTTGAACAGTGAAACTTTGTAACTGAACAAGGAATTATGTCTGTTTATAGAATTAAAGAGAAAGTATTAGCAATATTAGTATTAGCAGTATTAGTAAAGAAATGTTTAACAAAGTAAACAAATATATATTAAGCTTTTTTTTTTTTATGAATTTTGATACCCTTTAGATCATAATTGCTCTTTATTTCATAAATTATGGTTTTGTATTTTTAATTGTAGAATTTCTGCATGCCATCTTACCAGATTTAAATTGATTATCTATAATCCGGGAAAACCCCTAATCCAGCATTGCTGAAGTCCTGACGAGTCCGGATTACGGACTTTATACTGTAGTAGAAAGGAGCAGCAGATGTTTGCAGTAGTGAAGAGAGAGAAAGAATGCCATATGTCTAAGGTGGAAGCTTAATTTAGAAGGTTTTGGTTTAATGAATTATGACAAAGTTTACTAGGGCTATCTGCATAAGGGGGATGTCTTCATGGAGGACTTTATATGGCTTTCTAGCTTGTATACATGTTACATATGAAGGATACAACAAAGACGCTCGTGCAGCTAGCCTGTTCACCTGTAATCAAGCCCAAGTTGGAACTACCGGTGTTCAGCAATTTTATTTTACCACTTGGGCATTGGTTGGCTAGTTTAGAAGGATTTGTGTTCACTTTTAATTCCTATTGGCTAATAAAAATTTTGACTCAAAAATGTGAAATCTTAATTACTGAAGCATTTGTGTAAATACTTGCATCATTAGCATTGTGCAAGAATCATATGATCTGCATTAATTTTGGAATGATGCAGTTTGGAGCGATTTGTTATAAATAATTACTGTTTTTAGGATAGAAAAGAAAATGCTGAAATTAAAATAGAGGGTTAAGGGGCTACTGCAGATGAAAATTTTGCAGTTTAATTTACATGTTTTTTATCTTACATACATGCTTAAATATGTACATACACATACTGTTCATAAAACTTTTATATATTGCTAGATAAATAAAGATTATATGTTGTAGAAATAATTTCTATGCAGAAAACATATATCTGTATACTTTTTATACTTTAACCACATTTAAAACTTTTAAAGTTTAATCATAAATACATGTTTGTGATTTCAGACTGTAATCTGACATTCTCAGATTGCAAGTTTATATCTTTATTATTGTTTAGCATTTTAATTTTCATTAGGCTATTTTTTTTAAGAATTTTTTAAATGTAATACGAATTGTTGTAATAAAGATGTGCTATGCAGTGCTTTGTGAAACATTCTAATGCAGGCAGTATTATATTATATGAAGCTACAGCAGTTTAAAAATAAAAAAAAAAAATTATTATTACAGTGCAAATTCCGAAATCTGAACGTCCATTATCCAGAATGAGCTAAAATCCGGACCTCAAAACCAACAACAAAGTTTTTCTCGTAGGCTTTGCACATGCACATTTGATTTCCCCCCCCCTCCCGCACATAATAAAACATCTCGAGAGTCTCGATTCTTAATTTCATTTCAACACTAAATAAAATACCTTGTTATTGAAGAAACAATCATTTTAGCATAAATTTGTATGATCAGTAATTTGGCTCATTTGCTGCGTATCTGCTTGGCACACATCTCAAACTGAAACATTCCACATAGATACATCGTTGATCTGACACCAACCTAGGAAATTATTATTTATTATATTTTCCTTTCATCACCACATGTTTTTTCAACACATGGCAACTTGAGTAATGACTCATGTAGCGATGCCTAAACATTTTTTTATGTTAGTAATTGAATAATAAAGGAGTATGGTAACCTTTTATATTGACATTATGCTTGGTGATGATTACAGATTTAAGTTAAATGCGCTAAAATATGTTGACGATGAAAAATTTATTTCCATATGCTAAAAATAGATTTTGTTGATGATACTCATAGTACCAAAGACTACATTTAAGGCTATTTGAATGAAGAATAACTGATTTATTATTCACATAAGCCCAGAACCAACACCAGGCCTGGTATTGTCGAACCGGGTCGCAGTTCATCAGGGGTAAGATATCAAGCGCCGGCACTCAATAAGGCTTAAGTACATGAGGGAATTTATTTATTCAGAACTCTGATAAGCCTTCATCATGTGCAAGAAATAGACAGAAGTATAATAAATAACTAATACAATTCAGGTTTAAATGTCTTGGTGTATGATAGAAGCAAGATAAAATTTAATGCAATAGCTTGGCTTTAGTCGCCAAGCTCATGATGTACAGCCAAATATGCATAGTAAACAACAGCCAAATTTGATGATGTTGGCCACTATTTTAAAGGTTTTCAGATATCACAAAACAAAGGTAAAATTTTCCATTTAATGGAATTTGTAAAGAAATGGGGAGAAACAGTAATAAATGAAGATGACATAAAGGAAGTTTTTCATTGTGATAACAATTCTTCTCAATCAACAATCAATTAATGAATGGCGAAATCTATAATATGGTTCTAAATCCAGAAAATACCACTACCAATAGTGAAGAAAGTGGCAGAGAAGTTACTGAAAACGAAAAAAATTTTGTTTGACAAATTAGTCAGAATTCTCAACACAGCAGTTACAGGACATCAACAATGTAACTGAACAAGAGATTATGTCTATCTCCAGAATTAAAGAGAAAGTATTAGCACAAAAAATGAAGCAACTTAAACAACTTACTTTGGAAGAAATGTTTAATAAGGTAAACAAATAAATATGAAGCTTTTTTATGTAAATTTTGATACCATTTATATGATATATTTCATTATTTCATAAATCACGATTTTATATTTTAAATTTATAATTTCTACATACCATCTTAATAGATTTAAACTGATGATCTAATATCCGGAAAAATCCCAAATCTGGAATCGCTGAAGTCCCGACGAGTCCGGATTTTGGACTTTGTACTGTATTTTGTGTTGAAGTAATACAGTACAAAGTCCGTAATCCAGATGTTCATTATCCGGAATGATCTATAATCCGGAATTCAAAGCCACAAACTTTTCTTTGTATGCTTTACGCATGCGCGTTGGGAGGATGTTTCTCCAGATACGTTAAAAAATGCTTGGCATAATTTATGGCCAGCTACCATATTTCATGGTGAGGACGATGAAGACGATAGCCATGAATTTGAAGGTTTTCGGACATCGCAAACCAAGGTGAAATTTTACCAATTATTGGATTTTGTAAAGAAATGTGGAACAAACGGTAATAAATGAAGATGATATAACAGAAGTTTTTCATTGCTGATGACAATGCCCAATCATCAATCAATTAATGGATGGCGAAATCTGTAGTATGGTTCTAGATCCAGAAAATACCACTACGTGATAGTGAAGAAAGTGACAGAGAGGTTATTGAAAACGAAAAAATTTTGATTGGCAAGTTAGTCGGTATTCTCGACACAGCAATTACAAGATCTGAACAGTGGAACTTTGTAACTGAACAAGAAATTATGTTTGTTTATAGAATTAAAGAGAAAGTATTAGCGCAAAAAACGAAGCAACTTAAACAACTTACATTGAAAGAAATGTTTAATAAAGTAAACAAATAAATATTAAGCTTTTTTTTTTTTGTAAATTTTGATACCCTTTAGATCATAATTGCTTTTTATTTCATTTGGTTTCATATTTGTAGTTGTATAATTTCTGCATGTCATCTTACCAGATTTAAATTGATGATCTGTAATCCGGAAAAACCCCTAATACGGAATCGTCGAAGTCCCTACGAGTCCAGATTATGGACTTTGTACGGTATAAAGATTTAATTTTACTTGCATACCTAAAAATGACTTATAAATGCTTCTGCATTCTATTATACATATATGAGATCTAAAAAATGGTCTATTTAAATTCTTCAGTCATCTTTTATAGAGAGTTGGGATTGTTGCGAATTAAAATTTTACTATATATGTTTTTTATCTTACATATGCATATGTAACATACTTGTAGTTAGATATGCTATAGATGATAATACGGCTGAAGATGATGAATTTTCTTTTTTAACATGAATGAAGAGATAGTCACTATTAATCCTTTTGTTATTTTAAAAACATTAAAGCAGGAATATATAATCACAATTAATTTACATAATAATCATATTGTATTAATGTAATGATATAATAATCAAATTTAATTAATATAAGATGCAAAATGCATGCATGTTTCAGTTTTTGTAATTGGAAGACTACATGTTTTCTACGTGCAATTAAGTGTACATTAAGAATGGAGACATTTTTTAATAAACGTTTTAAGTTTAAAAACTTTTTTATTAATAATTTTACTCTCACCTTTGTTATTATATTAATATATGCATAAAAAATTAATACTTATGTATTAACGCAGCTACCTTGACAAAATTTGGTGATTTTTTGCAGATGAAAAGGTAAAAGTTACTTATCAAGGGCAAGTTACTGGTTTTTGCACTTTTTTTTTAGAAGTGTTCCCAAACTATTGCTATTTATCATAAGTCAGTAAGCATTAGCAACACATGACAGGAAAACATACTTTAGCAATTTAAAATATAAATTTGAATTATTAAATAAGGATTATGTGATACAAAAAATAAATAAATAAAACACATTTTTCTTCAAATCTTTCTATAAATTTTTGTGTGACCATTCTCCTAAAATACACAGCAATCTGTTTTTGCTTAAAAAAAAAATTCTGAGAATTGCAGAGACTTGGCTTTGTTCAACCATTGGCAAAACAGCTATCCAGAAAAGGCATTTTCTCATTATTCCCTTTAGAAAATTTTCAGCAAAATTCTGATTTCCTGCAGAAAATTTACTGCAGTTTCTTTCTGGCAAATTCCACAAGCTCATAGTTTAAAACTAAGTTTGAGGCAAAAAATATCATTATTTGTCTATAAAAACTGCTGGAATTTGAAATGCAGTGAAAATGAGCACATACGAAAATAGAGGTTTGCTTGACTGAAGGATTGTTATGAGAATGATTGCCAGAAGAATGGTTATGCCCATAGTTCCAGAGTTTGGCATATTCTGAAACTTCTATTGAAGTGGTTGTGTTAATACATAAGTACCATATAGGTTATTACAAATTTAAAGTTAAAATTTCATCTGACATGTGTTCTGGTATAATCCTTCCCTTAATAAATTTTTATGGAAAAATGAGAATATGAAAAAAGTATTTGTTCAAAAAGAATTACCGTATGAACTGCATTCTACTCTGTGGTTCTCTGGATATTTTTTGAAAAGGTAGTACTTAGAGTTTCTTCTTTTGATAACGTTACATAGAAATTTAATAGGAAGGAAAAAAATAATATGCTCTAGTTTTCTTCGACCCTGAATAGATATAAATTATTCAAAATTTTATAGTTGTTCGATTTTGATTAAATCCCATTATTATTTTCTACTAATGCATGAGCTAAGCATAATAAGTGCATTTTAGTGAAGGGTTTTTAAACAAAGTGAATTATTTCTATATCTAGATAGAAAGATCAGAAAGGAGAGGGGCAGAATTAGATTATTTGAAAAAACACCATAATGAATGGCTGACAAGTGGAGGGTGTTTAGATTTAACTAAAAGTAAGCCATCAAATGCTTTCCTGACTGAGCATCCAACGTACCCAGCTTTGCTTCAGAGTAAGTTCCTCTTTTTTTCATATTTATCATAATGCTGTGTGTTTTTAAGTGTTTTATAATTTTTGATTAATCATAATACTTTCTAAAATTTTGTTTCAACTGTGTTTAAAAAGTAAATACAAATATGGAAACTAAAGTACTTTCTGATTATCTGCACTGCCATTCTGAAAAAATGCCAAGCTAAGACAGAAAAGACAACAGAAAACAACAACCAATTAACAAAACCAAAAAATGCAAGACACATCCATAACAAAACACTTACCTCCCTCCCCACTTTCCTCCCTAAATATGCAATGAACTATTTTAGCTTCAGAAAACATCTGATAATTGCACAAAATCTCCATTGTATACTACTTGGCACTGCACATACTGTTGTTCTCTTCATGTACATACTTATCTGTTGTCATTAAAAAAAAAAAAAAGAGAGAGAGACTTGGTTCTGCATCCTGCACAAATTTCTATCCTCAAAATTCAATTGTTTAACGTGTACAGCTTCAGGGAATGCAACTTTTACATTCTTTGTTGTTGAACAAAACACCAAGTTTTTTAAGAAATTCAGTGCTTTCTTTTTTATCATTCAGCAAACTCTACAATCTCGTTATGATTCTGTACAAGAAAAATAATTTACTCGAATGTAACAAAAGTAAATGCTGATCAGAAAAATGACCATAAAATTTAAAGGCAGAAATTAGCTGTTGTCTGCTGCATATGCACACATGTACCTAGATTGCTTCATAAATACATTTTACCAGTGTCACGGGTTGTCTATTTAGTCAACATAGTGTGTTGCTTCATGAATACTTTTCAGAAGTGTAGATAATTGGAAAGAAGTGAAACAAATATTCTGTATGATCTATAAATAGTTGAGTAATAGTTGTAGTGTTGTTCCACTTTGATTTCCATTCTTGGTCTAACTGTATAGGTGCTCCAGTTTATTTTTTCATCTACAGTATCCTACTACCTGTAAGGGATATATCTATTTAAGAGACAGTTCTGTTTGTTCCAGTCACTTTGAATAGGGATGTTAATGTATGTACCTCTTATTAAGGAACACTGGAAAAAAAAAAATAAATAATAAAAAATAAATAAAAAAATAAAAATAAAAATCCACCAAAAATAAGATAGGGGTAGAGTAATATATAAAAATAGAAATACTCTTTGATAGTAATCGTTTGAAATTTCAAAGACAGTTTTATGAAAGATAGTTTTGTGACAAGAGAATAATGAAATGAAAAGTCAATCAACTACTTTCCAATAGGGAAAAGGGAACAGCATTTGAGAAAAGCAAGTTTTGATGCAATCAACGGGATGTTTCACATTCATATAATTCAAAATCCAGTTATTCATGCTACAGTTCTCAATAGGGGGAAGAAAACAATGCTAGCTAGTTGCAAAGCAATCTATAAACTGGGACCAGTAGGTAAGAAAAAGTGGTAAGATGACTTACCTGTGCCCAGGTATCTCACAATGCGGATAGCATGGGAACTTGTATCATTCTTGTTCTTTGTAGGACTGGGGGGCATAAGAAGCATAGTTTTGTACAGGTATATTTTTTTTACGTACATTGCGCCAAAAATAAGGGGGGACAGTTCTATATCTCCCATTTTACCTGGCCAATTGCTGAAATTCAACTTCGGTTTTTCATGTCTCAAAAGTGTGACTTAGGATATGTATTAGATTTATATATAGCATTGTTCTAATATAGATATTTTGACACAAAATTGGACTTTTTCTGAAACAACATGCCAATTTTTTTTCATATTTTGATTCTACGACTCAAATTATTCCAAATTGCCAAGTTTTGTTAAAATTGTACGAGTACTTTTTAAAAAATTAGCCCTCAAAATTTTAGGTCCTCAATGCTAATTGAATTTGGTATATATTTTTATTAAACTTATTTGATTCTTCATTTCATATTTCGAAATTTAGGTTCATTCCAAATAAAATTGGCCAATTTTTTATGATTTATTTTTAAAATTTGTATTTTAAAATAATTTTTATAAATCTTTCAAAAAAATTTTGAATTATAACTTATACAATTTTTGCCATTATCTTAAAGTAGATGTATTTCTAAGCATACCTGCAAAAAATTAGACTTTTTAATTTAAAATTTCTTAAGATATATGTGAATTTACATTTCGGCACATTTTGAAATTTGGCATATTTAGTATAAGCGGTAATAAAGAAAATGTGGTTTATGCACTGTGTTAAAATTATTTGAAAGTATGAATGATGCCTTGTTTCTACTCGTGAAGGAAAGGAAAATAGGTGGCTCTAAATTAAGAAGTTCACCAAGTGAATTATTCTTAGTGCAAACTGAAAAAAAATCCGCCAAGATAAATTTTTTAATTTCTCACCAAAAACTACAGAATTTAATATTTAGGCATAATGAGTCGTAGAATCGAAATATAGAAAAAATTTGTATGTCATTTCAGAAAAAGTCTGATTTTTTGTCAAAACACCTATGCTAGGACAATGCTATATATATATGTAATATATATCGAAGTCACGCTTAGCAGGGCTTTAAATAGAAAAAAATTAAAACAAAAAATTGATTAATTCATGTAGTGGAAATTGAAAATTTAGTTTGAGAGATTTTGGGCAGAAATTTGGAATAAGTAATGTGTGCTAAAAGATAGAGAAGAATTAAAAATATTATGGATTACTAATTTAAATGAACATTTTAAGACTGCAAAATTTAGAAAAAAAACTGAAGTATGAAATTGATACCATAGTGTTCAGTTGATTTTGTCCTGTAAGAGCAGTGTTTCTTAAGTGGAGTATTATTGCAAGAAAAGGTGGAAAAAGTGTTGGAAAGTGTGGGATTGCAGAACTTCACAATCATTAAATGGTTGGCTAGACAAATTTCAGCAAAGGCATAACATTACTTTTAAGACTATTTGTGGTGAAGAAAAATCAGTAGATATTCAACTTGTAACAGAATGGATAAAAAAGCTAAATGAACTTTGTGAAGGATATGATGCTAAAATCATCTTCAGTGTAGATGAAACTGGATTATATTATCGAATTTTTTTTAAGAAAGTTCAATGCTTCAAAGGAGAAAAGTGTTGTAGTGGTAAAAAGTTCTAAGGAACATCTTACTACGCTACTTTGCTGTAACATGTAAGGAGAGTTTGAATGATCACTTATAATTGGAAAAACCAAAAAATCAAGGTACTTCAAACACTTCAATCAAAATGCTTTATCGGTCCATTGGCATCATAATAAAAAGTCAGAGATGAGGCAAAACATAATGTCAGAAAGGTTGATTACTCTTGATGAAACAATAACTAGGAAAAAAAAGAAAGGTTCTGCTATTTCTTGATAGTTCACCAGCCCACCTACCTAATGTAAAATTGAAATCAGTGAAGTTAGTGTTTTTTCCCACCTAATGCAACATCACTACTACAGCCTTTGGACCAAGTTATAATTAGAAAATTCAAGGTTCATTACAGAAAACTTTTTTGCGTATTTTTGCAAACCATTTCAATGTATTTAAATTATAATTATAATAGTTCACCCTGAAAATTCTGGCCCTTCCATGAAAAATGCATAAAAAACTTAATGCACGAAAATAATTAGGCATGTTTTTTTCAAAAGAATTGTTTTGTAAATATATATATATATATGTTTATATACATACCCACTTTGTTACGTGGCTTGGTATGTTCAGTTTTTTATTCTTGTATATTGGTAAATTGTGCATTTTTTTTTTTTTTTTTTTTTTTGTTTAAAAGTGTTGGAATTATGTTGTTCTTATGTTCTGGTTATGGTTTTTATGCCTTTACTTAATCTGCATGCAATAGTTCTAGAATTATCAATGATTTAAAAGTTGTTTAAGTGGTATTGAGCCTAACAAAGCTGCTATTTGTTTATATATGAAACTCTTATTGGAATAATGAATTAAGTCAGTTTGTGCCCAGAATACAGTGACTTTTTGCCAAGTGGGACCAAAAGTAAACTTTCAGTTTTGTGCACCGGAAAAAAAAATCTGTCTTCCTGCCCGCTGACCGAATTGTTTATTTTTGAGTAGACTAGAATCCATAATATTTTTAATTGTTTTAACTGTACTTGGTGTTTTATCTTTTTCTACATCATTCAATTTTTAATGACAATATTTTGAGTTTTTATGTATTTTTGCCTTGCCGCGAAGTTAGAACTGAATTAATTGAATAAGAAATATATCTCTAATGAAATTCGAGGAAATAAATTTAAATGAAATGCAGTACAAAATGTGTATAATTTAATAGGCCGTACAAAGAAGTCATGTGGTGTCCATGTTAGATTTTTTGTTATAAAAACAAAGACATAGATTCTGAATCTTTGAAGTCCAAAACTGCATAAATATAACATGTGGTAAGATTTTTTTTAACTGTTGTCTTTTCATTTACATACAAATACTATAAATATGAATTAGTAGATGAAATGAAACAACTATTCAAATAGTTGATTTTTTTAAGGTACTCATTACCTTTATGCAGTTGATGCTGTTGCACTGAGCCATGATATATTATTTTAACTTAAATAATTCATTAAAGATGTTACATTATTGGCAATAATTCATTGACTTTCAGTGTGATTGGTTTCTGTTTTAACCTCCTGTTCCAGAAAAATTAATTAGGAGGATTTTCAGCTTATTATTTTATATAGAAAGTGTAAATATATTGCTGAAACATTTTTACTAAAAAATAGAAATTGCCTTTGGTGATAAAAGTTTGAAGCAGAGTTTATATGAAAATATAAAAAGTTAAAAATTACTATTTCTTATTTGAAGATTATTATTGAAAATTATGTTGTTGAATTAATTTAAAATACTTTCCTTTGTAAAAATATCCTTTAATAATATGCATTTAAGCATTAATAATTAATTTTCATAATTAATTATTTAATACATGAAGAAGTAAAGTGTAAAAATTACAAGCTCTTATTTGGAGAAATTATAGTTTTGAAAAGTACTTTCTAAACTAGGTAACTGAATTAATTTTAAATACCACTCTCTATGTTTAGTATAAAGGTTACTCTCCTTTAGTGCACTGTCATTCATTTAAAGTATAGTTTTCTAGTTTTCCTTGTTATTATTTTTCTTTTGGTTACTCACTTTTTTAGCTGATCGATTTTCCCTTTTATTTCCATTTCACATTCTTTTTTTTTTTTTTTTTTTCAAGAAAAGGTATCAGATTTTTTTTTCATTTCATTCCAGATTTTTTTTCATTTCAAAATTTTTAAAGGCCTATTTACAAATGTATTTCTCCATTGATACTTATAATTCTGTGTGTGAATATTTATGTTTTAATATGAAATGTTTTGTTTTTAAAAGTTTCTTCTTTTAGAACATGGTGCTGCAGATGAAAATGAAACTAAAACTGAGAGTTCACGCCTGAAAGATAATTTAGTGTGTATCCTTTGACTGGCATTTAATTATTTCTTATTGAAATCTACAATTTTTACTTGTGCTAAATAATAATAATAGAAAGTATATATGTTACTGGCAAAGTATGAAACGTCGGCATTCTAAAGATTGCCTAGGCATTGCCAGACGATTTTAGGCAAAGTATGAAATCTGAGAATTATTGCACACTTTCCCTAGGCATTCTATAGAATGACTAATACTGTTTAGGCAAAGTATGAAAAAAAGGTTTGATAAGACTATTATTTAAAAGACATTCATTCCACAAAAATACAAATGTTATTTTGAAAAATTAATGAAAGAGTGACATTAAGAAACTGCTATTCGAAATATGCAAAAAGAGATATTGAGATGATCTTGACACAATATAATGAATTTTTATTTTCTATCTGGCAGAGACTGAGACTCAGTAAGATCTACCTGACAACGAAAATTAAATTCAGAAACAGTTTATAAGTTTCACAACAATGCCCTTTTTAATACCTTTTTGTCTTTTCTTGCAGGGCTCACAAAGGTGGTTGTACAGTTCAGTTATCATTATGTACAACGTTTTTGTATTTGGTTGAAAGTTCTTTTGACATTCTATCATGTCGTCCGTGTCCAGTACTCAAATGAGTTTTCATGAAGTAACGGAAATAACTAAGCATCCATGATATAATATTGTATAGTACTGATGCTTTCTTTAACAGGATAAATGAATGTAATTTTGTTTTACACAAGCTTCAAATCCTAACGATTCCGCAGCCAGTAGTCCTGTTGTTCCTTCTGAACAAGTCATTTTGGCCTTTTTACATCATTTATTAACTTCTGGTAAGCAGTTTAGTTTTTCAAAACAAATTGGAAATGTATTTCGTACTTTGCCGGTTTGTCATCTGGCATTCTAATAGAATGCCTAGGAAAATGTGTGAAATATGAATTGTTTCATACATTGCCGGCTAGTTTTTAGGCATTATATACAATGCCTAGGCATTCTATAGAATGCCAGATTTCAAGCTTTCCCGGTAACATATATAAGCAAAATATTTTTTTATATTGTCACACGGAGCAAATATTAAATGATATTTTAACTAAATGGAAAATAAAATTAGATACTGAATAATGAAAAACAATCCATTGATAAGTTCAAGCTAAAAATTACCTCCAGAACATTGTTTCCAGATGACCATTGGGTGATGGAAAGGTCTTCGGAAAACAACCAAATTTCTGAATTTTTTTTTTTTTTAAAGCGAAACATTTTTCCATTTAAAAGTAGTCTATTGATTTTTCTTTAACCGCTTCGAGCCGGGTAGCGCAAACGCGCGCTTATCGCGGAGGCCGGCAGTGTCTTACGCGAGTGTCTGTCCAGGCCCGGGGGCTTTTTTGCTATTAAGCCTAAATCCATGAAATTTCCGAAGTATCAACGCATTATTTAATAATGCTCTATAGAGTATTTAAAACGGCTTATGCTTTATAGATATTTTTATATATACTTTAATTACCTTTTTTCTTGTTTAAATGCATATTTTACACATCTTATTTTCATTACTCACCATTTTATGACTTTTAACATTATACATCTGAAAACTAAAATATTACTTAAAATTCTCTTTTTGAATGAAAAATTTGAAAACGGGGATCTACACACAGTCCTACATTATGTTCCTTGCACTCGTAATAACTCATTTGCCGTTTTGGAGGATTTTTCCAGGAATGTGAACAAACGAAGCATCGTCATCTCATTTTCTTATCAGTCTCTTCTGAACAAAGTTTTGGAAAATGTCTTTCAGTTAATCTTTCAGAATCAATATCAGAATTTCAGAATCAATATCTGAAATATTTTGCATCATTTCTCCTATTTCATGCTCTGTTAAACATTTTCAACGCTTCGACATTTCAACGGTAAGAACAGAAAGAATTCACGTCTAACAAGATCTAATTATTTTCTAAAAACTGAACTGCAAACCGAAATACCCAACGCTTTAGCAAAAATAAAACTTCTCTACTTACAATAAACAACTACCACATGCGAATTTAAAGAGATGTCATAAATCACGCCATTCGGAAACATTTATTTCCTCTTTTGTTTATATAATCAAAAACACGTGTATGTGAGTCATGCTTCTCTCATTTCGAGTAGAAGGTCTAATGTACATGTATCTGAAACCATATGGACATACAGTGCCATCTTGTGGCAGAAATTATAGTTTTTACAACGTTCCAGGACGCTGGCACAAATACGTGATAGTCGGTAGTGAACGGGAAAATGCTCTGACACGCCTGCATGTCAGCCGGGAGGTGAGTGTGTTCGTTGCTGGCACGTAGACGTGACAGTCGGCACGAAGGGGTTAATAGAAATCTGATTTGATTTCTAGAAAATGAAATCAACCTCTGTCTTTCCATAAATATTAAAAGCTAATTTATTCATTATTAATCCTGTGTAACTAGTAATTGTCTCGGTTTTTCATCACATCCTAATTTTCTGAAAAATCCCAAATCTTCCAGTTTTGAATTTTTAGCCTTCTTTAACCCTCTGAGCACCATGACTGGCTTTATTTGGTCATGACATTTTTTGTCACTTGCTATATATTAGCTTATAAGTTAAAATATTTTGCTTTCTTACTTTAATTATTAATAAAAATGCCATCTTGATGAATGTAAATTTATGAAAATGGAGACTAAAATAGGTAAATATACATATTTAGCTAATAAAGGTTCTTTAAATGCAGGTCTTAATGACAGATCCCAAAACCTGGGTCGCTTAGAGGGTCAAGGAAACTGTTTCTCAGCAGTTTCATTGAATTAATGAAACTTAAATTGAAAAAAAAAAAAAAATAAATTGCAAATTTTATTCTATTCCTTGTGATTACCAACAAATTCTGATTAAATTTTATTTGATCTGAATTGCCTTATTCTACTGTAAATATATGTAGAACTTTTTACAAAGACATTAAATGGTTAATCAATAAATGTAAAAATAAATTAATAAAATGTTTGTATTAATTCTGTTTTACTTCAATAAATGGCATATTACTAAGTTTATCTGCACAAAAGAAGCATGTATAGTAATTATTAATTTTATTTTAATCATGTTTAAAACTACTTTGATAAACAAAAGCTTTTCTTCCTTACTTAGGATTTTCTCATTATAAAAATATTAAAAAAAAGTTTCAAAATAAAATTAGCTGAATATCATAAAACTTGGAAATTTTATTAATTATTAATATATTTAATACAAAATCATATTATAAATAGTTCAATAACCTGAATCATGCATTTATAATGTATGATTTAATCAATTTGAAATTTCATCTTCATGCAACATGAAAACCTCCCAGAAACACTTGGTTTTCATACAAGAACATCAGTGGTTTTTAAATTTCAAGGTTAGTAGTTATGATCTTTTTAGTTAAAAATGAATTTTAAACATATGCCTTTGTGAAGAACAAATGTGAAAAAAAATTGTGTATATTATTTCTTAGCTAATCACTGAAATGGGGTTTTATGTATTTGAATAATGTTTTAGAAAGGAAATCCTTTAAATATTATTGAATATTGATTATATTCATTAACACCTAATGCAACAATAACAATTCAGAAAGTGGTCTTTTTGCTGCAAATTTTTTTATTCTTTATTTTAACTCGCCTTCTTTTAACCTCTTTTTTTACTCCAAGTCAAATTTGTAGTGGATATATTCTACTGTAGTCATATCTGGGAGGGGAATTCTTGAACGTCAGGTGTGCAGAAATAATTTAATTTGTTACTCTTTTGAGTGCATCAAAAGCTTAAAGAAGAAATAACCAATATTTAAAAAAAAAATCTGAAAGGGTTCCGATTTTAAACATCACCTTAAAGGACTTAAGGTTTCTTACATTCTCACTGAGCTTGCAGTCTACTAGTCTGTTGTACTACTCACTTCTACTAACTTTTTAGCTTTATTATTTAGCATAATTTTCTTCATTTTAAAATATACGGTTAAACAGCAAAATTACAAAACTTTTAATAGCAGCATATGTTTTCTCGATGCAATGTTAAAGTGTTGGCATACATTTTTCTACTTTTTGCAGTTTACTATATCAATGTTCAGTTTTCTTAGTAAGCTGGCTCACAAAACTTTTATTTGGCTTTTCATTATTAACATTTTCTGTGTTTAAATATTATGGTCTTTGCACTTACGACACATAAAATTCAATTCAACAGCAAAATATTTTAAAACGGCAGATCTTTAGAATTTCCAATAAAGGAGATAAAAATATTTTATTCCGTACAGTATTGCCACTGTTTGCTTTCAAATCATTCAGTTCATTAATCAAAAATTCAAAATTTTATAAAATATGAAATATAAAATTCAGGCTTTCATGTGCACATGTTTGGGTGGAGGACTATGTTATTCAAATTTTGATGGCTTGAAAAATGTATTGCAATGTTTCAATGATGGCTTGTATTGCCATTTTTTCACAGTGCGAGGAACATACATATGTGCACGTAGATTCTTCATTATTTAATTTCTTTAAAAATAGTACAGGGCAGTAATATTTGGTGACAGCAATTTGAAAACTGATACAGCTAGTTGTAGTAAACAATGGAATCCTTTTTCGAGACTAATAGCCCATTTGGGCTAACACACTTTTGGTTTAATAAGCTTGTAGAAGTGTAAAAGCTTGCTAATAAAACAAGCTCATTATCTTTTCACAGTGGTGAAATGTGACTTTTTGCAAGCATTAAATTATAATCAATATATAAAGAAAAACGTGGGGCATCTTTTCTTTTGGAAGGGAGCAGTATGAAAGAAAACTGTCAGTATGATAAACTTTGGATAATGAATTTCACAGAACTTGAGCATTTGTATTTTAATGGTATAATCCACATTTAGATGACTTGGTAAAACTTTTGCTAGTGCAGAATTAACATATGCCATTTTTTTAAGGTTTTTCAAGCATCATCCTCTTGTTTACCCACATAGACTTTAGCTCAAGGTGATGCAGATATGTCTGGAAAGACTCTAATAAGAGGAAAATCCCCTGTGGTAGAGATCTATTATTTTAGGTCATTGATTTTCATCTATTTCACTGTAACTTTTATGCATTTGATCAAATTAATTTTAAGCTTAGATATGCATACCTTTTTGCAAGACTCGTATTTAAACTGGAAATGCTTTAAAAATAAAATTGGTACAGCAAGATTTATTGTATGTGTATGTTTTAGAAAATTTTTAAAACTGAGTCTCATAATGTTGTATTTACACAAATTTAAACAAATATTTATAAAAGTGAAATCATAATTGTTATAAATTTCACTCTTGATGTTAAAATTAAAGAAATGCATTATATCTATTCTAGAAATTAATTCCAGTATGAAATTTAGCATAAAGTCACTATATTTTCCTTATGTTTATTATTTTGTAATATAAATGATAGTGTTTAGTAAAAGATATTATTAATTATTATAAATACGTATCAAAATAAGTTAATTTTAAATATTTGTAGAAATTAAAATGCTGTGAAGTTGTGTTTTTATGCAGCAATTTTAAAAGTGTTATTAACAGGTTTCATTGCATTTAAGCCAGGTGATGTTTATATTGCCTTTATAATATGCTGTATTTCTTTGTTATTTTATATATTTCATTCTATGAATGTTAATAAAATTGTATGCATTATTTTCTCATTTGTGTCCTTAACTCAAAAATAGGTGTAACAATTTTTAGTCCATTATTACCTGATAAACAACCGGTGACAAAAAAATTGCCAGGTATGTGAAATTTATTTCAAAATTACTAGGAATACTAAATATTTGTTGCTTCAAAAAATTAAGAAACATTGATCAATATTTGGTCTTTTATCATATAACTTATTATGTGCGCAGCCTTAGGCACTACATGGAAAGGGAGGGATGCCCAGTGGAGGTCTTTTTAAGGAAAACTGGCTCGTATCCAGGTTACATATGAGGAAACCATGAAAACCCCCATGCAACCAGCCTGTTCACTGGGAATCGAACCCTTGACCGAACTATCAGTGTTCTGCGGCTTTTACTTCTTAGCCACTGGTTGGCCTCTTTACATTTAGTGCGTTTATTCTCTTCTTATCTGCTGATTTTTTTATGTCTGTTTGCATATGAATTCTTCTAACCAGTGGCGTAGCTAGGGTGGGGCAAAGGGGGACATCCGTTCCCGGGCGCAGCATCCAGTGGGCGCCAAATTGATGATACACATTACAGAATGAAATGGTTTCCATTATTGGAACACAGAAAGGTGCGCAAAATCTCTAGCTGTCCCCAGGCGCTGAAAACCTTAGCTACGCCACTGCTTCTAACTGATTAAAGCCTATGGATAAAAAGTTAAAGATATTATTACTTAATTTATATGCATGATTGGAATATTTGTCATATTTCTTTTACTGTTAAAAGATATTTCAACAGACAAGTCTAAAAATGTTCACAGCTTTGTGACTTTTTATTAAACCTTAATTTTTTTAATTTTATGTGTATATTAAATATATAAAATTCTGTCCATCTGCTTAAAAGATATACTTTTAAAGCATTTAAAATTTTTAATGAGCTTTTTAAGAACCATTAAAATATTTCATTTTTACTAAAGGGCATAACATTCAATTTTTCCAAATAAATACAGAAATAGTTATTCTATTATTATTTGAGTATACATGTGTTCTTCATAAAAATTAAAAAGCATGCTACCAGCTAAGTAGCTAAAGGTATTAGACAGTAATAGTTTATCTCATAATTACATCCTTGCTCCTTAATGGAGTATTAGTTGTTTTACTATGTGTATAAAATGAGGCACACACACACACACACACACACACAAAAAAAAAAAAAAAAAAAAGAAATGTATTAAGTGCATAACTTAAAATAAGATTGGAATTGGTAATAACTGTTTTAGTGACGTAATTCTACATCCCTCCTGTATCCATACTGCCCTTTCGACTCGACCAGTCATGACAGTTGGGAGTATTGCATCATTGAGTGAAAATGTGCAACTGCATTCTTCTGAGAAAATGTCTGAAAAAAACGAACAGCGAATCCACATCAAGTTTCTTGTGAAACGTAAGAACTCAGCCACAGTAACATTTCAAATGTTAACCGAGGCTTATGGAGACAAAACCTTTCCTCAGGCATTTGTGTTCGAATGGCATGATGGTTTTCAGATGGAAGAATCAAAATCAATATTCAAGGTAGTGTTGATTGTATTTTTTGACATTAAGAGAATTCTAATGATTGAGTAGGTTGCCAGTGGTCAGAATGTTACTCAGGACTACTACAATGTGGTAACTAAAAAGACTAAATTGTGAAAAAAATTGGAAAAAAAGACCAGAGTTGTGTAGTGATGGATGGTTGTTGCATAAGGACAATGCACCTGCTCACAAGGCCCTATATGTCTAGCAGTTTTTAACTTGTAAAAACATTACTGTGAAGAAGCATCCACGTTATTCAACAAACTTGGCTCCATGTGACTCCCCCCCTACCCCCAAAGTTAAATCTTTCATAAAGAAACTCATTTTACCTTTTTACCTCACTTAAAGATGTTCAAGTGAAAACAGAATCTGTGGATGGGCCTTTCTGAAACCTCATTCTAGGAATGTTGCTAGCAGTGGCAGCACCAAATGCAGAAGTGTGTGAATGTTGAAGGGGAATACGTTAAAGGTGATACATCACAAAGAACTAATTCTGTAAGTACACTAATTTTATTGGAACAGTCTCTTTTTTTTTTTTTTTTTTTTTTTTTGTGTGTGTGTGTGTCATACCTCGTAAAGCAGATAAGAGCCAGTTCCTCTCAAAGAGTCTTCTGCAAAGATATCTGTCTGCCCTTTTAGAAAGTTTATTACTGGTTGTCCATCTCTTTATCACTAGTTTGTGATTATAACATAGATATTCAGGCTACTTTAAATACTTAATTTAATTATAAATTTGCTATGAAGAAACAGATATATATATATATATATTTTTGTCTTGATCATCTGATAACGTTTGTTTTTGGAGACAAAAATTACAGCAATATCTCACATAGCCCAGGTAATCAGATCCATCAATATTCCAAATTGTTTGAAACCAGACTAATCAAGGAATTAAATACATTAAGAAAAAATTATAATTGGTTGACTCTCATACTCCCAAAATTGTTTTTCCTCTTTTTTTTTTCAACAAAGATTTTTAAAAAATGCATTTAAGTCTTAAAATTTGATATATTTCATAAGCATTAAAAATATGAATGTTAAAATATCTTATCCAATTATAAAATATCCTTAAAAGTTGCCAGAAGTGCTGCTAAACTTTCACCATTTTGGCAGAAGTTTAAAGGAACAGATTGTTCTTTATTTAGTTAGATATATATTGTATCAACAGATACAAGTTACAAATATAGCATAAGGGAAAACTTAAATCACTTATCATAATTTTTCATGTTGAATCACCATTGTTTATCTATTTTCAAATAAAATTGAATATTGTGTCCATTAGTGCACACTTTTCGTGATGCCAGGATCCCATAACTTTGAAAATACTGTTCTGTGGAAGGCAGGTCCTAGATTTTAATAATTTTTTCAAAATGTGAGGGAAAAACAGATAAAAGGCTATTAACTTATATTCTTGATTACTAAAACTAAACTGGTGTACATAGAACTGAAGTAAAGATCTTATGATTGTGTCATGATCAGAGCTTAAATTGTGCCGATGCTTCTTAAAATTTTTGAGATAAATCATAATTCTAGTCAGAGCGCAACAGAGCCCTAAATAAGAAGGCTCCTGCACTTCTTTAATGTAATTAAACAACAATGTCAGCAGAAAACTGATCTAAAAAATTTTATTTTTAATAATAAAATTATATTAAAAATAGATTCTAAATTCTGAATGCATGCCTCTTTTCTTGAGAAACGAATCCTTGGATGGTGGTCGACACTTTTAAGGAAAGAAAAGCCTCCATCCAAATTAAAGGCTTATTCTCGAGAAAGTACAATGAATTTATGACAGCGGGTAAATTTTTCATTCCAGTGCTAGTGTCATTCCATGGAAAAGAGCACCTGCAGACTTCTTGGAATGATGTAACCAAAGATGGGGGATCAGAATTGTCACTACTTTTTTTTCAGCTAATTCTCTGATTCGGTGAAAATTTGCTCTCCTGTCATATTTTGTTTGACAGCTAGAATTATACTGAGGGGAGATAGTGGTCAGAAAATGTTGGATTCTTCTCCTTTTGTTTTCATAACTACAGGCCATCTGTTAAAATTTTCTTTCCATTTTCATACTGTTTATTGTATTCTTTGTATTTTCATTAGAGATCCTTTAACCATACTAAAATTTTTCATGGGTTGTGTTATAAAAAGAATGGTCTTTATATCTATCATCCCTTGAACTAGTGCATTATATTCAGAGCTTAAAATAAACCAAAGAACGGTCGAGCTATTTTTTATTTTTTGTGTGAAATTGTAATTCCAGCCGAATTAATTATTGCATCTATCATTTTATTTATTTATGTTCATCTTTTCTGACATTCTTCCATAGGGCTCCGCCACTTCTAATTTTAGAAATAAAGCCCTGGTCATGATGTCATGCTTATTCATTTTTTGTGCTAAATGACACTGTTTGACAATAGTAGTGTAACATATAGTATATGCTTTACAAATCTCATTTGCTTACTTTTCTGGGAGAAGGGGGATTTTCTAAAATTTTGAAATATTCCATTTACTTAAGCTTCTTTTACTATACAGTCAAAAGTCAAATCTGGATTTAATATGATTTAAATCCAGACTCGTTGGGACTTCGGCGATTCCGGATTATTGATTTTTCTGGCTTATAGATCATCAGTTTAAATCTGGTAAGATGGCATGCAGAAATTATAAAATTAAAAATATGAAACCGTAATTTATAAAATAATGAGCAATTATGATCTAAAGGGTATCAAAATTTACAAAAAAAGAAGCTTAATATTTATTTGTTTACTTTATTAACCATTTCTTTCAACGCGCGCATACGTAAAGCATACATTACACATAGCCGAAATTAGAAAATTGCAACCAGAAAACTATTTGATTTGTATTCGTGATATTTATAATGACGAGGAATTTGATTTAAATCATATTAAAGATGGAGTACATCGAGATGAAATACTACATTTAGTAAGGAATTCTAAGCCGAATAAAATAAAAACATCTGCTCTGCAGATAATGGTAGTGCTGACAGATCAACTTCCAGTTCGTTGCGCGCCGCAACGTCCCCCCCTTCCCCACGCAGAGCAGTGTAAAATTGATAAACAGATTTCGGAACGGTTAGATAAACAAAGGATATGCCTTTATCCATTTTTTGTAGCAATTCCACTTTTTGTTTGATGGACATCGAAACATACTTTCATTTTCTAGATCCTTTGGGAGCTCCAGCATTTGAAATTCTATTTGACATAATTGAAAGTTCAAGCTTACTTTTATAAAATTGCTCTTACAGTCTGCAAAAACTAATAAGCCGGATCCAATTCGAAGATTAAGAAACAACGCAATCATCAACATTAACTGAAATAGATAATTAGATAATTTTAGCTTATACCGTCCGTTATACATTAAACGCGCACGCGAAAATGTATTCTGCGCTTGCGCAGACGCATATGCGCATTCGTAAAGGTCTTGTGCGCAAGCGTAAACGTCTATGCACGTGCGACAGAAGGATTTTAGCTTTGAGGTCCGGATTATAGATCATTTCGGATTATGTGTGTCCGACTTTTGACTGTAGTTTGGAACGACTTTTGACTG